CATGGCAATTTGATCATAGTAGCCACCTAATAAATGTTTGTTAAATTGAAATGAATCAGACTAAACAAATCTGCCACAATAATCTTAATACAATGTATTTCACAACCAATATGACTTATTTTGAGTTATCTTCACCATTTCTTCCTTACTTAATTTCCTTTTCCACTTATTGACTCTTACTCTAAGGAATGCAGAGAAATTTTTTTAAAAAGCAACAAATCTTGTTTTTAGTTGTATTCTGAAAAAAAAGAAGACACTAAAAAAAGAAATCTACTTATCTACCTAAGTCCTAGGAAGCTCTTCCAAGCCCAATGACTTTGCTGAGATAATGCGGTGTAAACAGATACCACCACTGGTGCAGGAACCTGCAGTGCAGGAAAGTATCTTTTGCCAAAGAGGAGAGCAAAGGAGAAGGGCTCCCAAAGCACCCAAATCCCAATAAGTGACAAATAGGTTCTTTTCAGTTTAAATATTTGGCCCCAAATGACAATAAGCTTCTTTTTTATATATTCTAAGAAAAATTAAAAAAAAATCATTATGCAATACCTCCTTTTCACAGTGGTCTAAGAAGATCGGGCTTACCTTTGGTATGAATCGTGCTAAATTAGGCTTTTAGTAAAGTACCTCTTATTCAAGTGATATGATATGAATAAAGGCATATAAAAAGCTACGTAACAAGGTAAAAAAATTAGGATGGCCAAGTCTATTAGCAGGACTAAGTTTCCCAACTAAGTGTAAATAAAAACTGTTCAGTCTAAGGCCTACAGTATGTCTTGTTATTCTTTCTGGTATTGTTTTAAAAAGACTGTCAGTATTGTTTGATAGAGTTCATTTAAAAAATTACATTTTGCAAAAAGTTGGCTATTATAATCAACATCTGATGTCAGTTTTCTTTTTATCTTTAAAAAAAAAAAAAGATGATTTCCAGGGGCTAGTGTTTGCTTACAAGGGGAAAGATCATTTCAGAAACTTATGCTTCTGTACTTGCACATTATAAGTAACAATGTGGAAATCATACTCTAGACTTTAAATATATTCATTCTTAAAAGCTTTGAGTATGCAAACAAAGATGCGGTGGGCAGAGGGCCAGTTAATAAATCTCATTTCCCAGTAGCATCTGTGTAAAACACAGCTATGGGGAGTATACTCTCTAGGGAAATCCAGGGCACGATTCATTCTCTCCATGAATTAAAAGTGTCACCCTAGATCACCAATACAGCACTCATTTTTCCTAAGTACCTCTTAAAATACATGGATGCCTAGTATTCATAAATGTGGTGAGTAAGCTGGGAGCCAAGAAGGAGAAACTGACCCAACAGTGGGCAGAAGCTGTGTAAACAGGTCTACACCGTTCAGCAGTGCCATTTTAGGCTCTGCTTTGTTTATGCCAGTTTCTTCTCAACAAAGCATCCTGGGTCTCACTAATCAAGGAATACCCTTTTTTGGAGGGGAATGCAACTTGGTGTTCTCATTGAAGCGCACACCTACTCCAGTAATTATTAGCAACAAGGATGGGCAGCTAGATCAAAGAACACATTAGATTAACAGTACCTAAAGTACACATGAAAATAAAGGCTTCTACTGGCCTTAATTTAAAGGCATGGCAGCTTTTCTGAATACTTAAGAGAATATGCTAGACAGAGGAAATAGTCTATAGTTCATTAATTAGTTGGTCCTTTTCCTTTCTGATCTGTAAAAACTGGTGCCTAGACCTAGGACCCTTGCTCTATCAGTTCTGGTGATTTTATCTAACCATAAGAGAGCAAAATACTCCCCTCTCAAAAATTATAATAGTTAACACTTATAAAGTCCTCTATCTAAGGTTTTCAAAGTATTTTGCATATTTTTTTGGATGTTCACAACCAATCTGTGTGTTAGGTGCTATTATTATCTCTACTTTCCAAATTAAGACAGTTGAGGCCAAGTGAGGTTAAATGTCTTGTCCATGGTGACATAGTTAAGAAGCATCAGAAGCAGAATCGGAATCCAGTTCTTGATGATTCCAAGTCCAACACACCATCCACCATTACATAATGTCTCTCTGTTGCTAAGTTACAGAGATGAAAATAGGGTGAAGGGAAAGGAAGGCAGGAATCTAAAAGACAGTAAAGAGATCAAGAATAGAAAGCATTTTTGGCCCTTATTTAAGGCTGCCAGTCTCCCAACCCTTATCTCATTACTTAGGACTACATCAAATCTCTAGCCAAAGCCAGGTCTTAGCTTGGCCATAGTCAGGCTTTCAACATACATTTTATGTTTCCTTAGCAATGAACTGAGTAAATTATTCTGAATCTGCAACCCTGAATTGATTATGGTAGAAGAGTGTTAAAATGTGTTTTATTTCTACCTCCCTTTCCTGTTACTCTTCTTCCTCCTCTAACTCTGTCCTCCAGAAGCAGCCAACACTATATATCACACAGGGTCTCCACACTACAAGGCACACAGGATAATGTCGACCTTAACAGTGTCTTGTATAACCAACCTTCTGACCTATGATATAAATTCTATTATTTCCAGTAACCCTATTGTATATCATGACAATACAATATTCTCAACAACCTCTGCATTTGGCCAGATGAATCTTGTTTATAGGGTTTCTCAGCACATTACAGGGAGTTGAGAGGAATTGCTGGCCATAATTCAGTGTAAACAAAGATTTGAGTTCACTTTAAAGTGACTGACTATTTAAAATCAAACCTAGCTTTTACATTTTACTTTCCTGCCAAGGGATTTTCCATTTCAACAATTAAACAAATATTTCTTATATTCCATTGAAAATTTCAAGTCAGTTCAAAGAACTTATAAACTTCTGCCAGGCAATTTCCAATGGCCCATGTAGTAAACGACAGGCTTCCCCTAAAATGAATGTTACATGGTAGGAATTTAAATCATTTAGGAGAAACATAGGCTTCACATCTATTGCCAGCAAGAACAGTTGAAATAAATAGCTAAAAAAATCCCAACCCTGAGCTTTTAAATTCCTTTTAGAAACAGAAGTGTTCATATTCAACATAAGAGGAAAGGTAGGGAACAAAAACTCCAAATTTAAAGATATAAAGGCCTCTAGGAGAGAGTCTCAGAAAGTAATGCCCGATTTTGGTTTATATAAGGGCAGAAAAAGTACTTGGAATCCACAAGGATTGCAAGGATTCTGTATTAACATGTAAGTGGGACCCATGAGACATGAGATTTTTGTGACCTCATGGGTACTTTCAAGATGAACTTCCAGTAAGTATTTACACAACTGTCAGAGATGATATAGCAGATTTGCTTCTAAGTTTTGAAAAACTTAACAAATAATGCCTTCTTTTAGTTAATCAAATTGTAAGGAAGATGAATACTCTGATTTTATTTTGTTATATGATTATATTTGTGAACATATTGTACCCAGTATATCTGAATGTTTAGACTGAGGCTTAAAAATAAAAAAGCTATTTCCTGTTGATCCCTGGAAGAAGATGGCTTTAGATGTATGCATGCTCTCTCTCAAAGCAAAAGCATTGTTAGCTGTTATCAAGGTAACTTAAAAATAACTGTCCCAAGTACAAAAGAACTAGAGAGGAAATATGCCCTAAGGATGTGTTTTCCTTCAGACCCCTGGCTCAGGCTGGCTACATATAGAACTCTAGCTTCACTCTCTACTACAATCATGTTATCCTTATCAAACAATGCAAACAATTTTAACGAGCTTATCTACTAAAACAAACGGCCAGAAATGTTAATTTGAAAAAGGCTGCTAACTGTATGGGCCAAAGCATTTCATCAAAAAGGCTTCTTTCTATACAATAACCAAAAGCAGCCCCATCCTCAAATCAGATACAGGCAAATCCCCAGAAATCGCCTCTTACTCTGAAGAAGAATGAAGAGCCCCCACCCCATATTTAGATCATAAACTCTCATGAAAATGGGGGGTACAAAGCACCCTGCCTTCTGACAACTGCTGCAGCTCAATTTCTTTCAAAGAAACCAAGGGTTTTGTGCACCAAATTTTGGTAAACGCCTGACACTATGACCTCTGCTGTCAATCCTTCCACCAATCAGCAAGCAGAATTCTTACAAAGCTCCATCAATCTGGCGGTTTAACATCACAGACTGCAGTTTAATCTAGAGGATTCTATTTTCTCCCCCTGCACACACACACACACACGCCCAGACACACACACACACACACACACGCCAATTCACACACTAGGCTAGGGCAAGCACACGCCTTTCTGCTCCATCCAGTCACCCTCTGATGTTATGGGCACAGTTAGCCAATGTCTCCTTAAAACATTTTTTTTAAAGAGGAAGGAGGAGAAAGGAAGTGCTGCAGTCTGAATCCCTTTTGAAAGGGCCAAAAAAAAAATTAGCATGCATTTTTATCGATATGCAAAGGAGGAAAGACGGAGGGGGAGCTCCTGCAGACAGCAAACCTATTCACAAAATGCCTTCCATCTGGCCAATACAAATGGTATTTGAAAATGCTAAACCTCCCGGCATGCTCAAGAGGAACCATTAAAAGAGAAATAAATGACCATAGCTGGCTTAAATGAAATTATATACACACATATGCACGTGTATGTGTAATTTATAATGCAGTCTTAGGAACCATTAAAACAGAAATAAGGATTAGAAATGGCTTAAATGAAATTATATACACATATACACACATGTGTAATTTATAATGCAGTCTCAGGAACCATTAAAATAGAAATAAATGATCAGAACTGGCTTAAATGAAATCATGTACACATATACACACATGTGTAATTTATAATACAGTCTTAGGAACCATTAAAATAGAAATAAATGCTGACTTAGATTAAATTATGTACGTGTACATATAGACGTGTAATTTATAGTGCAGTCTTTGCCTTCGTTATATAATCCTCTGCATTACCTCCTCTTGTTGCTGCAGTCCCCAAAGGCAGACACACACACGCACGCACATGTAACACACACATGCACACACACGCGCACACACACAGCTCTGGCTGGTCACAGCACTGATTGATTACCTGTAAGATCGCTCCCCACGCACTGTGTGCTTCCTGAAAGGAATGATCGTCCCGTTATCCTGGATGATGTCGTTGTTGTTCTCGCCATTTGGGGACAAGGTTTGGGTAGGACCAGGCATTGGAGCTCTCCCAACAATGAAGGCCAGTCTTTCCTTTGCTCCGATGAGGAAGGTAGGTTGTGTCTGTCTTCCTGTCTCACCCTTCTGCTTCTCTGCTACTGCTCCCCTCACTTGCTCACTGCCTGCCTGCCTCCCTCTCTCTCCTCCTCCTCCTTCTCCTCCCTGGTTTCCCTCCCTCTCCTCCCCCTCCCTCCCTCTAGCTCGCCTCTCTCTCTCTCTCTCTCTCTCTCTCTCTCTCTCTCTCTCTCTCTCTCTCTCTCTCGTTGCTGACGTCAAACTGCCTGGAGCAGCACCCTGGTCATGTGACAATGTTCTTCACCATAGCAACCAGCTAACTCATCATATCTCCCCAATTCACACAGGGCTACAGGCATGACCACACCAAGACATCCAAACAGGCTCCGGGGGAGGGGGGAGGGCAGGGCCTACATTGGGCGTGTAAAACACCCAAACCACCTCTCTCCGTCCCACCTCCCCCCAACCTCCCCCCCCACCCCAGCAGACTTGCCTTGTCTGAAAACCAGCTCTTCCTCTAACCATTTCCTTTCCATTGCATACTGAAACTGCAGCTGTGTACACAAAAGAAGGATTCAGGCAATGGGATGTGTGTGTGTGTGTGTGTGTGTGTGTGTGTGTGTGTGTGTGTACGTAGGGGGACCTTTTAACTCCTTCATGACTAAGTTCTTTACACCATTAAAATGAAACCCAGGAAAACCCACTGTTTCCCTGTAGGCTGCCCTGTAAGCTGCCAGTGGCTAAAGGCAGTTATTAACATTTACCCTTAACACCTTCCTCCACACAGACAAAAATGAAACACCAAAAAGAGCTTAGAACTGAAGAGGAAGGTCTAGTTCCTTCTACTCAATGTTGCATGTTACATTTACTTTGAAATTTGTGGCAAGGGTTGAATGGCAAAGGCGCCCTGTTTTTACAAAGGGATCCTGAAAGAGCACAATTAGAAAAGTGACTGGCATTTTTGAAATGCACAGCTACCCTATGCCCCCAGATTCAATTCCCCCAAGGCCAACTAATCTATATAAATGCTCCCATGCCGTTTAATCTGTGGCTGTTTTCATTTGGGGTAAAGAAAGACCATGCAGCATGAACGCAAATTTGTGTGTGTTCAGGGAAGGCTCCACAAATACCGAAGACTGAAAGTCAAACTGTTTTATGTTCACAATCCCAAAAAACACTCATGACTGATTCAGTGTTAGTTACTCTGCCTTCTCTCCCCCTACCCCCCCCCAAAAAGGGCATTCCCCATCCATTATATTACAATGCAGTCTCTAAGGATCTCTTCCAGGAGGCAGGCTGTGAATGTTTCAATGATGCTGTGCTTACCGCAATCAGTGCCTTGAAGAGGCTGGAGAAGATGAAAGGTGTTTTTGTAACTAGATAAATAAATATAAGTATGTATATGTGTATGTGTGTATATGTATATGTATGTTTATAGGAATGAAATGGCAAGACACTCATATGTATATATGTGTGTGTATGGATAGGTGCATGTGTGTATATACATACATACACATATACATACACGAAATGGCAAACCTCTCCAGAATCTTTGCCAAGAAAACCCCAGATGGGGTCACTAAGAGTTGGTCACGACTGAACACACACACACATACATACACTCTCTCTCCTGCCATATGTATACATACACAAACACACATGTGAACATATATACACACATGTATTATATGTATGTATATGTGCACACTTTTATTTATCAATATATACTTATATATTAACTATATATTTATATTTATTGAACTATATATTATCTAACTATGCTCTATGCATATATTTAACTATATATTATTTGTACATTTATATTTATATATACACACACACATATGGATGTGTGTACATATAAATATGTATATATATACACACACACACACACACACACACACACACAAAGTATATGAAGTTCACAGCAGAAAACACTCAGATACTCCCCCATTGATTCATATCCTCTTGTAATTATCTACTTTCTCATTTTAAGGTACAATTATTAAAAAAACCAAGCAGAAATGTTGCTAAGCCTGACACTTCTCCTGTAGATCTCCCTGGCAATAACAAGTTATTTCTGGTATCAGGATTCTGGAATTAGCATCAAATGAGCTTCTCACAGTGTGTTCATATTCAGCACCCAGATGGTAGCGATATAATCCAAACAAGCAGAAGCAGAGGGCATTTTGAATTTTTTCATTTAATTTTCATATCTTATTCACAATTTCTAATAATCCCATTGTGAATGTGCTTTTTTTCTTCTTCTAAGTTTTAGTTTGCTTAGAGCTGTTTGTTAAAAAAGCAACATGGACCCAATTCTGACTGAAGACTGGCTGGTTTTACAAGACATACAAATAAATATACTGACGTATCTAAGAAATAGTAGGCCATGTGTTGTATGACATATAGTGGCATGACTGTAGCCACTGCTGAGGAGCTTCATACTTTCTTTGCTTTCTGTTACTCAGTCCCCATTTTCTACCTTCTTAGCAATTTATTCCAACACTCCATGCCTTCTTGTTCCCTATGTGATCCCATGAGCCTCAGTTTAAGTGCCTGTTTAAAAATGTAACATTGAAAATGGCCAGAGTTTGCTCTCCCATTTTGACTTTGGCCATATCACCTGGTTTCTTCTGGATCTACCATTTGAGTCTTGGGCTGAAGAGGCTCAAAAACATGGCAAAATATTCTTGTAAATATAAAAATAGGCAGTATCTCAGACTAGTTATCTGGCAATGTGGTGCTGAAGGGGCTCACAAATGTCTTCTAGAGTAGTGGGGGAAAGCTGAAACTTTTTTTTTAAACCACTAAAATTTTGGCTGACAATTCAGAATAATATTATTTCTATACTTAGGAATAGTGCCAAGAAGCAAATAGTAAGAAGAGATATCAAGTCCAGAACCTTGTCTAGTATCCCATACTGAGGCCAGGAAGCATAGGGTCTCAGAAACCTTTAGCAGCAAAATAAATAGTTCAAAATGACACTTAAAAGGATTAGGAGGCTTTGGGCACTTGTACTATATGAATGATTTAGCTTTCTTAGCCATTAACCTATAAACTATTCATTTTGGGTGAACCTTGAAGTGGTTAAATTCATTTTTTTTCTGCCTTTTAGGAGACAGGCTATATTGGCTTACATTTTTTCTATTCAGTTGCAAGGCTAAAAATTATTTGAATTATCAGCTAGTTTGAAGGAAAAAAAACCATTCACTTGCTTTTTCCTCTGAGCACAGTTAGACCAAACTCTTCTGAGTAGTCATAGTTCCCTTTCAGAAGGCTCTGAAATGATGAAGAAAGCTTATTTTCCAGACTATGAAATGTAGTTAGATGGAGCGCTAATAGAGCTGATCCACCAGCATAGATATTTTGGATAGACATCGGAGATGGGCAATACACTGAGCCAAGAATTTAAGAGGAGGAAAAGAGGATAGTTGCTTTGGGAAAATTGTACAACGCTTTTAGTAACACCAGCCATTCTCCTAAAAACAAAATCCAATCTTTTAAGCATCAATATTTTCCCAGTAATGCGATATGGCTTCAAGTCATAGAATACCGCAGTCGCTGGAAAATTAAGCTTTCAGGTTATCTGAAGGGAAATGGAGAGGTGCGTGGTAGACTGAAGTAAGCTGCAATCTATTACCAATGAAGAATTTACAGAAATAGCATTAAATGTGTAATCTGGTATGACTGGAAAGGAGGAAGATCAGGTATGTAGGGGTGTAACTGTTAAGCAGCTACTATGTGTCAGGCCCTGTAAGATACAAAGAAAGGTAGTCCACAGTCTAATAATGTGTGATGTGTGCTCTACTGGCATTTATTTACAAAATGTTAAGCTATCTAAAGAGAGTTCCCCAGCATATCCACTAGATTCCCCATGGAGGAGTCATGGGAGAATATAGAAGGGCATCCTATAAGATGAGAAGCCATGGATGGGTTTTGATCTGTACCACAGTGGGAGTGGCCACACTACTTAAATCAAAGAACTAAGAAATAAGAGAGGTAAGTGACAATTCTAACAATAAATAGACAAATGCAGGCCTGAATGCTTTATTAGTGAAACCTTTTGGGAAAAGAGCTAAACTACATCCTCATATGTACAAAAATATTTATAACAGCTTTTTTTTTTTGTAGTGGCAAAGAACTGGAAACTAAGGGAGTGCCCATCATTGTAGTCCACAAATATAATGAAGTATCATTGTGCCATAAGGGAATGGAGAGATAGTTTCAGAGAAACCTGGGAAGACTTATACGAACTGATCCAGAGTGAAGTGAGCAGAACTAGGAGAACAATTTATGTTATAACAACACTGAAAATGTTAGGAACTGAAAGAAGTAATTTTTGATCCTGTATTTTACATTTGATTTTACTCTGCGATTTTATTCTGTAAATGTAACTAATAATAATCCCTTTTCCTGTGATGCTGGCCAATTAGATGATTTCTGTTCTATTCTCTGGTCTATGCTTATAAAAATGAGTTGCATCTTCAGTTTGGGGTGTTTTGGCTAGAGGAAGGGCCATTCGACCCATCCTTTTTTATCAGGCTGCATGTCCCTGTTAATAAATGGTATCTTGCTAGGAGAATTGCCTCAGCTTCCCCTTTTATTAAATTTCACATGTTACAGAACTTTGATCAATGCAATGACCAACCATGGTCCTGCAGAGGACAAAGAGGTGACGGATTCCAGATATAATGAGACACACATTTTTGGACATGGAAAATTTAAGGATATTTTGCTTGACTATGAATATTAGTTACAAGGTTTTTCTTTTTTTAATTTGTAGGTGAGATCAGAGGGAAAGGAAAAGAATGGGATTAGTCTCCCCTGCTTCCCTAAATGAGAAGACAACAGAAGCAAGGCCAGAAGGAATCACAGACAGGCAGGACAGCTTTGAAAGTCTCAGGTTGAATTTATTAAATATTTATATTAAATCTAAAATATTTATATAAAATAAAATCAAGTTCTATGGAGATTTGCAGTCTTCTGCACAGTCCTCTCCCTTTCCATAATCTATGTAGAAATGTTTCTTTTACATGGTGTCTAAATTCAGAATTTTTTTTGAGAAAGAAAAAGGGAAAAAACCCCTACATGTCCCAAGTCTTCTCATGTTTCTGCCATTTTCTTTTGTCAAAACAGCAT